TCCGCGAGAAATCTTGCGTCTGCGCAGTCGGACTGTAAACAGTTCCTAAACTAGTTCTTTCACAATACATTCCGTACAGATCTTCAGGAGGAACTCAGAAATACACAGGGGCGACAAACAGACTTTCTATACGCAGCATGGCTCGCGTAACAGTTTCTAAACATTTTAAGTATGTGGGTCTCAAAGAAGTTTCACAAAAGTCCCCGAAAAAGGATGTCAGACATTTTCATTCTATTTCCCTAATTATTATTACTCAAAAATAAGAGTAAAATTTGATTTGTAAAGATTTTTCAACTCTTCTGTCTATAAAATTGTGCTCGTCTTGAAGTCCAGCTTTATTATTGAAAAGGGAACCAGTTAAATTTCTATATAAAAATCTACATTTATTATAACTGAATCCAGATCAAAGAAACTAAGCTTTTGGCACCAACTTTGATACTGTTAACCTTATATCTTTGTAACCAGATATTGTAAATCATCAATATTTCAAACTACTAGGAATTCTGTTAGATCAAGAAGTCAAATCTTCAAATATAAAAGGTTTACCAAGATAAAGCAATTATACAATCTGAGTTTGTGACAAAACTCAGTTCCTTTCGATCATAACTAACCTTAACTATATTTTGTTTAAATATATATATATTATCCATATACACAGTGTTTCTTCCTATTATTACTCATCAGTATGGCTAAATTTTTATCAGTTTTTGATTTTTGCAGCTGATGGGGCTTGAACCATAAATCCTTACATTATGGATTAAACACGCTAACCACTGCTCCATCAAATCCTGGTGAATTGGGTAATGCAATAGAGACCAGAAAGCTCAACCAACTCATTATAAGTTGAGAGCCTTGCATAATGCTAATTAGTTCACCTATCGATTACCACACAGTGCTCAAGTTTAGCGGACTAAACGAGCATGTATATATATATATACACGCAATGTGAGTAAAAAACCGGAAATATCGATGTTTTGGGAAAAATTATTTAAAAAAATTTTTCACTGCATTTTAGGCATCAAGAAAAATAAAATGTGCTAAAAAAAATTCAAAAATATTTTTGGAACAAAGAAAAAAAATCCGCGAAACCAAATTTTCTTTGAAAAAATTTAATTTTTTGAAAATTTTATTGTATAACAAAACTCCGCATAAATTTAGAGTGGAAATCTGCTTAAAATGTTATTAAATTATAACCAATTAGAACTATTATGACTTCAAAAATGCAAATAATTGGCTTACTTTTTTGTTATATCTCATTCAAACAATGAAATAAAAATTTTCCTAACTACTTTTTTAAAATGTCTATTTTTTCAAAAAAGTATGGTTTCGCAGCACCGTTCCAAAAAGTTGTTTGAATTTTTTTATCACATTTTGTAACGTCCGAACAAAACATAGATAATCCCAGTTTTTGCTCACCCTGTATTATATGATAGATATTAATATAAACCCAAAATAAGAAATGTAACTTACCAAAGTGAAGTGCAGTATAATTTTCCTTGTTACGTTTATTAATATTAAACCCAACCGCCACAAGGCGCTCCATAAAGGATATCTAAAAAATAGTAACTTCAGTTTTTTAGTTCATATATTTAAAACCTTTAACACCAAAAAGCCATCTGCTTGGTCTATAAAAGGAAATCTATATGCTAAAAAAAAAGTTTACAACCAGCAGAAAGGAACTCAAATATTATTATCACTGGATCTTTGAAACGTGATAGTGTAACCATTGGGTATTTCAAACATAGATTACTAGATCTTACAGAATTTATAGTTTGAAATATTCAACGTAAACGACAGCGGGCTACAAAGATTTGGGATTAGAAAATCAGAGTTTGTGGCAAAAACTCAATTCCTTTGTCCAGCCCCCATATCCACCCATGGGCTTTCCCCTTATAGACCCAACCTAATTCTACCTTGTTTTCTATTGCTGCGAACATAATTGGAGTATTTCCTGTCAGCGGGTCCACTGAACCGGAAACTAGTTTTCTATCAACTTCTTGCTTTGTGATCATCATTTCTAAATTCTTAACAACAAAACTGTTAAAAACTATTTTAAAAAAACATCTTTTTGTGAAATTACTTTTAAAAAAAGAATCAATTAATAATGCATATTGCACAGTGAATTTACACACTATGAAACTGAACAGTCGGAACAAATTCTTATTTTCTAATCACTATATCATTGCAACCTGATATTTTAAACGATGAATATAGTATAAGATCCAAAAGTAAAAGTTTGAAATATCATTAGGTTTGCAGTGATACAGGGGGTAAAATTTGAGTGCACTCTTCAGTTCCTTTTTTTTAAATATCTGTAGTTTGTTTCGTTTGTAAACTTTAAATATCATTTTAGTTTGCTTTTCTGTCTGTTTGTATCCAATAAATGTCAAAACGGCTGAACTAATGATGGGACCCAAATTGTATGTGGGACTTCACATGTCCCTAGAAAAGGTTTATGGATGATCGAATTTTTTAAAAATTTGCCTCTAACAAAATCCGATTTTTGCAAAGAACCTGCAAAATCTTTCACTGTGATGTGTAGAAGGATTAAAATTTCCCTGTATGATAAATGAAGGACTGCAGTATGGTTTTGGTGAATTATATTGGCGTACTAAGCGAGGGAGGATTTGCAGAATTACCTCCAGGCCCCGCAAAACTGGTCTCCCAGTCTCAGTGACGTCACCAAGCCTCCCGCCATTCTGTCTCCACGCCCCGCATTTTGGTCTTCACTTGTTGTTTTTATTTTTTGTTTAAAGAACCTGTCAAATCATTCGTTGGGATGTTTAGAAAGATGAAAATTTCCCTGTATGATAATTGAAGGACTGCAGTATGGTTTTGGTGAATTATTTTGGCGTACAAAGCCTAGGGGTGTCAGAAATGATTTTTTTGCATTTTTTTGAAAACGTCTGGGGAGGGGGTACAGAAACCAAACAGAATTTTTTATTTTAATTAAAAAAATATAAGTAAGCACTTCTAAGGCTGTTTTCTTTATAGTTTTGCACTAATTTTCACGGACAAAAAAGCTAGTTTAATATTATCAGCTGACCACTTAATTCCCTGTTACAATCAGTTTCCATTAAAAGATTTTCCAAAATTAAAAACCTCTTAAACACAAATTTTTTAAATTTCAATCATTCATAAACCTTCCCTGGGGTCCCTAGATGTCCCACAAAAAATTTGGGCCCGATCGGTTCAGCCGTTTTGACGTTTATTGGATACAAACAAACAGACACCCAGACAAGCCAAATTTATATATAGATTAAAACAACAAGATATGACATGAAGCTGCCCTAACCTGTTAGTATAACATGTAATAGATATTTAGATTATTTTAATTCTTTGTTTTAATTTTTTATTAAATAGTTCTTCAATATTTTCTAAAGCATACAATAAAATCACAAATACAAGGATTTCACAAAAACTACCTTGTTTTGTAAATTGCCGCTGATATTGTTTAATTCGTATATGAGACCCCTCTAAAATAATATAACATTTTTCTATCTTTATACAAAACTGCAATAGTTCTTTACAATTTAAGGAATTTGTGAAATTTAGAAAAACAAAATACAAGCCTTTAATCTCAATTAAAATTCACTTTTTAATAAAAAATGTTAATGTATCATTCTGAACTATTTCATCATATTGAGAATTTTTTAAAAAAAGGTTCTTGGTGGAAATAAAAGCCAAATATTTTTTTATTGGAGCCAAAATGCGGGCGTGGAGACAGAATGGCGGGAGGCTTGGTGACGTCACTGAGGCTGGGAGACCAGTTTTGCGGGGCCTGGAGGTAATTCTGCAAATCCTGAGGCTCGGAGATCATTTTTGCGGGGATCATGGCGCCTCTGCACCCCCTCCCTCACTAAGGGTGTCAGGAATGATTATTTTTGCATATTTTAAAAACGTCCTATAAAACTTAAAAAGTTTAATTTTTGATAAAATATTTTTTTCTGGATGATTGCAAACATCTATCTAAAATTTTCTTAAACCAGCATATTTTTTCTAAATTTTTTCAGTTTATTCGAGTAGATATCCTCAAACATAGCGAAGTAAAATCTTTTAGAAAGAAGGAAAGATTCTACAAAAAAGCTGGCAAACCAAACAGAATTTTTATTTTGAACAAAAATATACAGTATATAGAATAATGCAGGTACTTTGGGGTACTGGGTGGTACTAAGGTGCACTGGGGGTTTTGAGACTGCAGGGGCGGTACTGGAGGACACTGTGAAGAAATAGTGGGTACTGTGGGTAACTATGGGGTGCTGCAGGTACTGGGGATACTGGGTGGTACTGGTGGCCAAAAAAAGAGTACTGTGGGATACTACATGGTATGGCAGGCCGCAGGATACAAGGACACTGCAGTTTGCAGGTAACTGAAGTGTACAGGGCACCGCAGGTTATAGGGTACTGCAGTAACTCCCAGTACACTGCGGTACTCCATAGTAAGCCCATTATCCCTTAGTTCCCCCATTACGACTTAGTACCCTCCAACACCCAGTACTACCCAGCAATACCCAACAGCACCTCACAGTACTCCACAGTATCCCCCAATATCCTCTGTTATCCCCACAGTACCCTACAGTACCCCTGTCCCACACAATACCCAACCATAACCCACAGTATCCCGTGTTTGTATAAAATGCCTTCTTTTTGAGCGAAAATTTTATGTTTTTTTAAAAAGAAAATTGTATTGAAGGTTTTAAAAGCTAGTTTTTGTACATTTTCTTTACACTTTTCAGATTATTAAATGCCTTTTTTTCGAAATTAGAAAATGTAAATACTTTCAAACTAGAGGTTTTTGCAGTATTGAGATTTGAAATTCCAAAATGAGAATATAAAATTTCAACTTTTATTTTCAAACTCTGGTATTGGCGGTAGTGAG